TAATGTGGTGAAGCTTTATTTCTTGTGATTATTTTTTTTTATCTCTGCATTCTCCTTATAAAATGTCTGCTTTTATCTTTGCTCATATATAACTGGAATGTCTAATTTTTCTGTTAATATTAAGTTTTGAGAATTTGTGTGTTCTAAATAGAAGTCATTTTCCATATATGTGCTTTTTATTATCTTATAAAAGCCAATGGTTTCTTTATGCATCTTAGAAGACTCTTTGTCAGCAAAAGGTTTTTTACATTGCTGGAATCTAACTGGTGAGTTTTTATTTTCCAAACCATGCTTTTGGTATCTTATGTATGCACTTTCTGCTTAGTCCTATTCCAAAGATTTTTGCCTATGTTTTCTACTAGGCATTCCTTACTTTCATTTTCTACACTTAAGTAGATGCTTTATTTTGACTTAACTTCTCTATTGCTTGCAAAGTTCAAACTTCTCCAAAAACATTAGTTGAAAATAATTATTTCCCATTAAAGCCATATGAAAGCTATATGTGGTTCTGACTGGCCTGAAACTCAGTGTATATATAGGCTATCCTGACCTTCAGCTCACAGAAATATATCTGCCTTGCTTTGCTTCCTGAGTACTGGGATTAGAGGCTTGCACCATCATTTCAAGCCTACTTCTTTCACTCTTTATGATAGAGTAGATTCCTTTTCTGCCATTGTTTTTATGGATGAGTTCATCTTTTTAGGAACTTATCAATACACTTCCCCTATAATTTGTTTTCTCTCTTCAAAACCTGCTCTGTTAATTTGTTTTCATATTGAAGTTTATTTTCAACAAATTTATTTCCTGTCTTGACTGTAACACTTCCTTATGTCCTCCTTTTTTGAGTTTAATATGCTATTTTTTTTCTGGCTTGATATGCAAATTTTCTTCTTTTCTAATAAAAACTGTAAGTTTTCCTTGTTTGTGTCTCCATATGCATAACAATTTTTGTATAACATATTGTTATAATCATTTTATTTAAAATAGTTTCCTGTTTCCACTATAATTTAGCCTATGGTTAATTATAAGTATATTGCTTAATTTCTAAATACTCAGGGTGTTCCTCGTTTTTATTGTCTTATTATTTGATTTCTAGCTTATTTACAATGAGATGAGAGAGAAAAGTTTTATGACTTTCATCCTCTGAAATTACTCTGTGGTTATGAAACTCCTTTGATAAGTTTTCCATAGCACATGAGAAGAATATATGTTCTGCTCTGTGTAAATACATGGCCTGATTCTGTTAATTGAGTCAAATTTCTAGTCTTATTTCTCAAATCTCTATATATCTACTGAATGTTTACTCATATCTTTTCTGAGGAAATTATTTAAAACCACCAGCTATGACTGTAGATTTGTCTGTTTTTATAAATGGCTATGTTTTCAGGGCATGTTAATGGTCAAATCCAAATTCATCACCATTACATCTTCTAATTGAATTTACTCTTCTATACAACTAGCCTTATTTATTACTAATACTACCAGCTAACAGTGTACTTCATCTGATGTTAGAAAGTTCTTTTCCTTTGGATTAGTATTTTCATGGTATTTATTTTACTTCCCTAGACTTTCACTTTAACCATTTGTGCTCTTATATTTAACATTTGTCTCTTCTGAACATCAGCTAATGGGACTTATTGGTAGCTTGACAACCTTTTAGTCTTAGCTGGGGCCCATATAATGTTCATGTAATCACTACACTATATTAGGTTTTCTTAATTACAGTTTCTTTTCTTCTTTTTTTTTTAAGTGTGTGTGTGTGTGTGTGTGTGTGTGTGTGTGTGTGTGTGTAGATATTTGCACATGAGTGTGAGTACCCATACAGTCCAGAAGAGGGTGTCAGAATCCCAGGAGCTGGAGTTACAGGTTGTTGAGAGAGCTACAAGTAAGTCCTGGGAACTGGATCTGAATCCTCTGCACTGGAGCAGTACGCACTCTTAACCACTGAACCATCACACCAGTATCATTTTGTTTATTACAATCTTACTAATCAATCTTTGAACAGAAAAAAAACTAAAGATTACAACAGGGCTTTTAATGCTCTGCCTAGAATGATGTGGAATCGGTGCTTTTTCTGAACTAAGAAAGGGGATCTCTAAATGCATTCATTTTCTGCACCACCCCATTTTTGTCTTTTGTAATATTTTTGTTATGTTTTAATTCTGCATGTATATAATTATAAACTAAAGTATTGCTGTCTGCTTTTGATATTTTTATTCTCTCTGGCACCAGCACTTCTTTTCCACATCTCCATGTCTCTAAACAAGACAGTTTTCTTTCTGCTTCCCAACATTTCCCAGGATGTCTTTCAGCACTGGTATAAATTATCTCTGAGTTTATTTGTGTGAAAATATTTTATATTTTTTCTTTCCAAATGATATTCTTGTCAAATTCAGAATTTTAAGTCAACAACTATTTTCTTTAACATTTAAAAAGTATCATGATCCCAATATTTCATGCTATGTGATTTTTGTTGATAAGACACCATATTTGTCTTATTATCATACTTTTCAGATAACAAATTTTTGCACTGTCTAACTTTAAGATTTTTCTCTTTGTATTTGGTTTTCATCACTTCATCATGGTCCAGACATAATCTTCTTTGGAACCTATTCTGTTTGGAGTTTGTAAAACACATTTGATCTGCAAATTGATAATTTTGTTAGTTTAAAAGATGGTCAGACATTATCTCTTTAAATACTATGTGCTTTTCCATTTCATCCTGTTCTTCTAGAACTCCAATTTCATTAAAAAGTTTCATGTAAATAATCTAACCAAATAAGTATTTCTCAAAACGTTTTCTTATCTTTTCATAATTTTCCTCTGAGTTTCAATTTATAAAATTTCTTTTAAGTCTTTAATTCTTTATCATTATCATTTCACTAATTTTTAAATTAGAATTACTAGTACTGCTTTTAGCTCTAAAATTTTTACTTGATGATTTCCTAAGGATCCCAGTTCTCCTAACCAGGTCCCTAGCTAATATGTACTTTTTACATATTAGCCAATTATATTTACTAGTCTAGTTTCTAAAAGCTCTAATAGCTAAAAAGTCTATGGGTCATATTGTCTTGTTTTTGTTGTTGAATTGTTTTTTTTCCCACCATTTGACTGTATTTCCTGAAAATATCAAGTGATTTTATATTGACTGATAGATACTACACATAAAATCATGTAGGGTGCTCCTGATGGCATGATCTTCCCCAGAAAATATCTTCCTTTGGTTGGGCAATTAGTACAGATGCAGGAGGGGTTCCTGTAAACATTAACTGAAAGTGTTTCTGGTTGGATTTTAAGTCCAACATAAACCAACCTACTCTGCCCTGTTGTATCAAGTCTTCAATGCTCTTTCTCTGTAATAGGATAGCAACTTCATTTTCTTTCCCTTCTGTGATATGACTTTTAAAATCACTGTTCTATTTTGTAATCTCTTAGAAGTAATTTTGGAGTTGGTTTCTTCTAGGCTTTGTCTCTGGTAAAGCATACCTAAATAATTAGCAAATGTTCTGAGAGGAAAATCATAATAGGACATCAGGCTCACTTTTGTGCATTTATCACAATAAAAATCAGAAGAATCATTCTTTAAGTTTTGAGATTGAGAGCCAACAGCTGCTGAGTGTACCTTGCTGCCAGAGCCCTTCACACATCCACCCAAAAGGTGCCTTGAGGTAACTAGAAAGGTACTGCCTCTCAGGGCTTTGTGTCTTCTCTGCTACTGTTGTTCTGATGAAGCAATTCAAATCATCACTATTGATTGGATTATTTAACAGGACACATTAGTACATCCACTGTCACCAGGAAGGTTACACTAACTCACACTGACTTTCATAAAGAATCCAGGGTATCTCCAGTTCATTTAGTCATCTTGAAAACATGACTGCAACCTGTCTCAATTCCCTAGAGTCTCCCTGAGTGTCCGAGCTAAGCAAGAGACCCACCTGATTCTTGGTACAGACTACTACAAGGTCCAGCAACTCCATTAGTACTAAACCAGGTTTTACAGTTTGGCACTTAATGATATTTTTTCTTTAGGCCCTTTCTAAGATTTAAAATAGATCCAGTCATTTGGACCTCACCTGAGCAATTTATTTGCACGTAGGGTTATGTGGCTGTTGTTTAGTTTCTGGTTTTGGGTATTTTTTTTCTGTATTTTTAAAACTCTGTAGCCCAAGGTAATCTTGAAGTAGTGATATTTCATATTTCTTCTCTCAAGCATCCATGCGTGACATATAAACCATGACAATGAGCCCTCATTTTTTTTATATATAAAGTTAGCTCTTTGGCAATTCTATATATGTGTATGCTGCATTCTAGTTACTTTCCCACCCATACAATCTCTTAAATCCCTGAGATCTCTATTAGCCCCACCAACTGCCTGTCCCTTTTCCCGATTCATGACTGTTTCATGACCCATTTATCTTAACCATGGTTACCTATGTGACCACTGGAGTGTGACTATCCTGGTTGTGTCACCAGTGAATATAGAACAGAAGGCAAGGACTCCCATTTCCCTGAATCTCTCTAACAGTAAGGGAGAGGTCCCCTAAGTCTTTCTTCTAGACTTGCCTGGCTGTTGATTAGCCCACTCTTACTCAGACACAGTGCAGTCACCAGCAGTTGATGAAAGTTCTTGAATGCAATGTGTTCTTTCATTTTACTTTTGATTTGGTGATACAGTCTCAGTAAGCAGCCCAGACTTGCCCTTGAAACGTGATCATTTAGAACAAACATCCTTAGTAACTAGGATTGAAGGTGGAATGGTCCACCAGGACTGGCCTGTCTCTAGATTATGGAGTCAGTTTAGAGCTTTCTAGGTGTTTGATCTACCACCTCTTAGTTTTTACTTTGAAACATTTTTATAGACTGACCCATCTCTACTTCTCGACCTAAAGCAGTTAATTCATTGATTACATATTTCTTGTCTTCCCCTGCCCCTGAATTCACACACAAACTCTTCTCAAATAGTCTTGATTTTATATATCATAGTTCATTTCCCTTACCCAAGTGACTGACAGCTTCTTTTTCCCAAGGCCATGTGGCAGCACCTGCAAGGTCCTCCCCAACTGAGCTGGCGAAGTAGACATTGAGGAAATGAGTACTGTTGAGATGCAAGGCCTCCTTTAGCTCCTTCACACTCATGTATGCTCTGGGGGACAAGCACAAAGAGAGAATGTCACACCAAATGGCAGATAATGCCTGGGCCAGATCTGATTATTATCATAGCATTTCCATTTATCAAAGATTTTTGGAAGGGTAGAGAGTCTAGAGACATGCCTATCATGAAGTCTAGGAAGAGATACATTTGAGTTATTTTCCCATTAAGTAAAACTCTACTGCTTTGAAAAACCACAATTTCTGCATGAAGCATCTAATTTGACATTACTCTAATTTCTTCATTTTCATAGGAATTATTTCTTCAAAACAAACTCATTGATGTTGATAATTCTTTGTTTTGAGAATTATGCTCTGATTGGAGAGGAAAGCCTTCAACCTCTCAGCTTTTCATAAGTGTCTTCATACCACCTGGTCCGTATGATGGCAGGAAGTTCAGTTATATATGTTTTATCATATGTCTATAGAAACCATTATTTTTTAAAAGAAAGGGTAAAAAAGCGTCCAGGAAACAAGTTGTAAGAAGTAAAAATTAGAAGAGTTTTGGGAGCAGAATACATTATAAAGCTTCTGTAAATGATGTTGTTCATTAATTTCCTTCTTGAATCCCTTAATCCAGAGAAAATCCCCCTATCTGCTCCTATCTTTTTTATAGTAACAATGGGTTATCTGATTGATACCTGTGCTGGATAATTTTATGTCAACCTGACAAAAGCTAGAGGGAGGAACCTCAGTGGAAAGAATGCCTCCATAAGACCCAGTTGTAGGCAAGATTGTATAGCATTTTCTTAATTAGTGACCGATGAAGGAGGGCCCAGCCCTGTTGTGGGTGGTGTGACCTCTGGTCTCACAGTTCCAGGTTCTACAAGAAAGTGGGCTGAGCAAGCCATGAGGAGCAAATGAGTGAGCAGCATTCCTCCATGGTTTCTGCATCAGTTCCTGCTTTGAGTTCCTGCCCTGACTGCATTTCATGATGAGTTGTGATATGGAAGCGTGAACAGACTAAATTCTTTTCTACCCAAGTTGCTTTTGGTCATGATGTTTCATCATAGCAAGAGAAAACATAAGACACTGACTTCAAACTTAACAATTTTATATATGTACTTATACACGAATTGAAAGACTGTTAAAACGTGACTCTCAAAAACATTATAGATTATTGATGTAGCCCTTAGTTGCCTCTTAGGGGTTTAATGTTGTCCCCTATGGCTGAAGGCACCACATACATAGCACACAAAACTCAGAAGATTCAAGCTGAATCTTCCCTGAAAGTCTCTTCCCTATGATCTAGTTTCCAAGGTTCCAGAAAACACTATGCAAGCTGCAAAAGGAGTAAAGAAATTGAACTAATGATTCTCAACCTTTTTAATGCTGTGATCTTTTAATACATTTCTTGTTGTGGTAACTCCCAACCATGAAAGTATTCTTGTTGCCACTTCATAAATGTAATTTTGCTACTGTTATGAATTTTAATATAAATATCAATGTTTTCTGATGGTCTTAGGTGATCACTGTGAAAGGGTCATTCAGTTCCCAATGGGGTTGTGACCCACAGGTTGAGAACCACTGAATTAAAGAGTCCTACCAAACTGTAACACTGAAGCAATTACCAACATGGCAAGATACACATAAAGGTGCAAAAAATGTCACTTACATACCAGTAGCAATCAACAATTGTCTAATTGAACTTAAAGAGGAAAATTATTCCTGGTCCTGAAAATTTAGTCATCTTCCTGGGACTAGTAAATTCATAGATCTTAGAAAAGAATCTACTACCGACACTTTCTAGACCATCAGAATTCCTTACAACATTCTGAATCTTATCCTTATACCCATACATAAGTGAAGCTACCATCCCTGTCAAAGAATCTCCTCTTCACAGCAAATGGAGACTATCACAAAAAAAAAAAAAAAAAAAAAAAAAAAAAAAAAAAACAGTGATCACAATGCAGAGATTAATGGATTAGGTGGGGGCAGCTCCTAATATAGCTCTGAGGTATACATGTACATCACTACTCAATTGTCTATGGCTCAGGGGACATCACAGAAGATAGGAATGGAAAGACTCTGAACCAGAGGAAAAGGGAGTTTATTGTGATAGTATGTCTTCTAGAAATTCAGAGAAACTAAACACATGAAGTCTTACCAATATGCCTGATTAAACATGAACAAGGATGACACCAACAGACATGTCAATATGGACAGGGTTCTGGGTTGAGGGGTAGGGTGAACAGAAGCTCACTAGGCCTCAACCATATTTGAAGAACTACAAGCCACTTAGGATGGCTGAGAGCAAGAAAAATAGTCTTCCCCAGGGAAGAGCACACCAATCTAACACCAAATGGTCAGATTTGAGAACATACATATAAGTAACATTATACAGAATGAGCATATTATAATTATGTAATCTAATTGAAGGAGCAACTTAGCCAGAACTCAGTAGTCCTTAAACATAAGAAGTACTTCTGACAGTGGTCATTGTACCATCCCCCAAAAGAGGAATAACTAAAGGGAGCTTTTCACAGCTAAAGCCAGGCAGAAATAGTTTTTGAATTTCCTTTAGGATTACGTTTCATAGCTGCTATTCTAACAGACAAGCCATAGGCATTGAAAGTTCCCAATTCACATTAGGACAGCATAACCCTTCTTCTATTGTTTGCCCTACTTCCCAACCATGATGCTCACACAGTTTATTTAACCCATGTGTAGAATGTGCTGGCAAGGGACACCCAGGTAATGGAAATCCCAAAAAAGGTAATTTTTGTGTTTCTTGAAACAGAACTAAAACCAGGAATGAAAGCAAATAAATAAATAAATAAGGTCATACTTGTAGAGCTTGTAGACCTCTAGATGCTTCGGAGAAAAGGGTTTTAAAATAGTATTTTTATTCACTTGTAATATCTTGGAAAAAAGTTTTCAGAATCATCCAAGCTCCATGAGGTGGTGTTGGATGTGATCAGAGGGATATTCCTTTAACTGCATTCCTGGAGATGCAATGTTTTGGGCTCTTGCCTGGTTTTTCCTGGACTTAGTCACATTCTCTTTGTTTTTCGTGTTTATTAAAACAATTGCATTATGTTTTTATTGATTGTTGGGGTGATGATGACATCATGTAAATCTTTCATGTGGAAATGTTACAATAAATGGGGGTGTGGAAGAAGAGAAGAAACTAGAGAAGGAGTGGGATGGGTAGGATTAAAGACAGACTACAAGAAGAACAGAGTATCCAGGATGAAGATCTAGCTCTGATCCCCTTTTGGGCTTCCAATTAAAACTGGAACATGGTACTTTAACAATTTGCTCTTTTTTACTTATGCACTTTGCCTAAATTCCCCTGTTCCTGGCATGACTTCCTTGGGCTATCTCTGTGTTACTGGCTTTTCTGTCTTCCATTTGCCAGTCTTGGCCACCACCCATCTGTCCTCTCTCAACCCAGCAGTTCTATTCATTTCTCCTGAGCATCCTCCAAAAAGCCACTTCCCGTCCAGCATCAGCATCAGGGGCTGGTTGTACTCACCTCCCCTTCTTCCTTGCCCAATTATTTTCCCAGCCATAAATTACTCTTTCAGATGAGAATGTTGATGTCATGCTAGTGGCAAATGGGGTTTGGCTGCTCAGATTTTTGCACTTCACAAAAACATAGATAGAGGTTAGTAAGGGGGACTAAATTTTAAAAATCTAGAGACAGTTGAAAATAGCCCCTAATTGAATGGATAAGAGAAACACTTATTTGCTGGAAAAGACTGTTATCCTGATCTATGTCTAAACCAAAGAGGGTCAAAGTGTAGAAGTTAGTGTGCCTTTTTCCTATGTATGATGGCTTGTCTTCTGAAACATGTATAGCATTTTAAAAGTTACTTGGAACTAATTGAGATAAATGTCTTAGCATCTGGACTAACTAATATACCCAGGACTTGACTAGGATTTAAGCATTTATCACTAAATATAGTTCAAAAACTCAAAGCTGAACTTCTTACTACGGAAAAGATTTACTAACAGATAAATGATATTGGTGGTCAGGGTTGTCCAAGAGACTCCCACAGCATTATAGGCTGTTGCTGTTGTCTTTGGTTACCACCCAGAGGACGAAGGTAAAACACCATGTACATCAAAAACAGGACCCAGAGGAGCCATATGGACCTGACCTAAAATTCTATTCCCTAAGGACTAGCTTTCACAGTACTAGAAGGTGCCATGCAAAGGTCAAAAGAAAGAAAGAAAACCAGCGGTTTTACCTAGTTATTATGAGCTACAACAATAACCAGCAAATCACAATATACCTAACAGTGCTATAGTGGCATGCCTACTTTGGTGGTAACCAACAGCTCTCCAATTGGACTTAAGACTCACTCAACAAGAGGAAAATCATGTCTGATACTAGAAACCTAGCCAATTTCTGAGGACTAGTGGTAAGGGTCCTTGGAGGAAAACCTACAACCACTTTACTAAATCAGGACAATTCCTAACTACATTTTAAATATTTATTCTTACACCCACAGATAAATATAGGTGTCACCCCTCATCAAAGAAAGAATCTTCTTCTTTTTTTTTTTTTTTTTTTTTTTTTTTTTGCAACAGATGAAAACCATTACATAAAAGCACAAGCAACCAAAATGCATAGAAAAAGTGATCACGTGGTACCCAACTTACAACTCCTACATTTAAGGCTTAGGGATCATAGCAGAAGAGAAAGCTGAAAGTATGTAAAAGGAACAGGGAATTTGTTGTGTCTAGAAATGTCAGAGAAGCAACAAACAACCATGAAGTTACATCAACATGGCTGTCTCAATAAAACCTAAACAAGGATGTCACCAACAGACATGCTAACATGGAAGGAGGAAATCTCATGGGATCTCAAGTCCAAACAAAAAATTAGAGGCAACAACACAATTTTGAAGGCAGGAGAAATAGTCTTTCCTAGGTAACCCCCCCCACACACACACACACACATACTGGTTATCTGATACCAAATGATTAACACTATAACATATAGACTGAGCAATATACATTTAGGAATATATATTATACATACAT